TTTTAAATCACAAGTGCTCAATATGCATTTCTCCCCCAGTTCAAATCCTGACTCCACCACTTGGAACCTTTGTCTACCTGGGTATCCTGATAAACCTCAGTTTCCCCAAGTGTAAAATGGGGATTACAGCGGCCCCTCCTCCCAAGACTATTGTGAGGAGTGAATGGTATAATATCTGCAGGTCCACAGATAAGCCCAGTGCCCAGCACACAGCTGACCCACAAGATGGAACAGCTATTAACACTATAGCTTCCTCTCACCAGCCCCAGGGTAGGCAAGCCTGTCCTCTGCACACTGCAATTCCCCCTCTGTTCCTCTCCATATTCTATTATTTCCCAGCCTCCCTGACTATGCTGGGGTCTCTTTGAGGCCAGGACCCAGGGTTCACTTGTCTTTAGGAGTTCTCCAGAGTAAAGCACCAGAAGTCCTTCCATAAATGTCTGTCTGAGTTGGGCATGGTGGCTCACGCCTGTAATTCTAGCACTTTGGGAGGTCAGGGTGGGAGGATCACTTGAGGCCAGGAGTTCGAGACCAGCCTGAGCAACAGCGAGACCCTGTCTCTACAAAAATACACAAATTAGCCCAGTGTAGGGGAGCGCACCTGTAGTCCCAGCTACTCTGGAGGCTGAGGCAAGAGGAGTTTGAGGTTGAGCCTAGGAGTTTGAGGTTGCAGTGAGCTGAGATGATACCACTGCACTCTACCCAGGGCAACAGAGCATGACCCTGTCTCAAAAAAAAAAAAAAAGAAAAGAAAAGAAAAGAAAAGAAAAGAAAAAACACCATAAATGCCTATCTGCATGTTCTTGACTGCACACGAGTGAGGTTCAAAGGTGCCAGGGAAATGGGGTACCTTTCCAGAGAGCCACCAGGAGGCCCAGCTTTGTCGTTCTGGTCCTTCCTGCCCCCACTACTGACTAGCCCCATGCCCCTCCCTCTGTGAGGAGTGGTCCCCACCCCACTCCTTCCTTCCCCAAACAAGTTCCATGGAGCTCCTTTTCCTTTCCTGTTTTCCAACAGCTGGAAAGTTCTGGATGTGAGAAATGTTTTGCGGTAAATTCTAGGCTTGTACCAACAGGCTTGTGTGCACACAAAGCGGGAAGTAGTGAGAGGCCCCCAGACTACCCCCATCGCATCCGGGAAGGCAAGACAGACTCAGCAGGGACTGTTAAAGGCAATCTTTGAGCTGTAACTTGTACTTGGGGCTTACAAGGGCTTTGGAGGTTGACAATAAGGCCTGGACCCTGATAGCCAAAGGGCTGCCCCCAGTAGGTGAAAGGTAACACATACTCCTTCCTTCCTTTCCTGAGTTCTAATGAGTCCCAGAGAAGGCAGCCCCTGGGTTCCTGGCCTTGACTCTCCCTGGCTGGCCTGCAGAGGACCTGGGGCCATGAAGACAAGGCCTATCCGCAGGGCCTCTGATGTTCCTGCTTGTGGGTGGGGTAGGCGGGGAATCGCCCAAGCTGGATCCACTTTACACCAAAAGGGAAGGAGATTAGTTAGAGGTGCAAGGAGGGAGCAGGGAGTTGGAGAAGGAGGTTCAGGGGTCTGGTGGCTCCTGAAGAACAGGCAGTGACTGTAAGCATGGCCTTGTGCACTGGGAAAGCCCACAGCAGCACGTTTCTGGGCAAGGCCGTCAAGCTGCTTCTATTTCTCCTTCCACAGTGGGGCTTTCTCTGCAACTATCCTGAGGGCAACACCAGCTGAGTCCAGCACACCCTGCAAAGTGCTGATGCCCAGGCTGCGATTTGCTTTTGCTCTAATTCTTTGTCCAGTTTCTTATTCTGAGCTGTGTCAGGCTCACTTTCCAAATTCTCCTTCTTACAGGTAAGTGACTTCACTGATCCTGGGCCTGGGCCCATCTGACGCAGGGCAGGAGCCAGAGACAAGAGGTCCCTGGTGGTCTTCATGCCTGTCTTGGGGGCCCAGCCCCTGCCAGTGGATGAGGCAGATGCTGCCCTCTGACTCTGGGGCCGCTGGCTCCGTGGGGAGAGCAGCATGGCCCTGGGGCAGCCTTGGTCCAAAGTGACTGCCACCACCATGCAGACTGCCAGCAGGACAAAGACAGCCATAGAGGAGAATGAGCAGGGAAAGTCCATCCCCTCGAGGGGGTTCCCAGGCCCCACTCAACAGCTCCGGAAGCTGCCTCTGGGACTCCTGCCCCGAACAGCCGTTCACAGCTGGGGAAGGCCAGGCGTGGGGCCAGCCTGGGAGGGGAGTGGCAGAGACAGAAAGTGACATGGATGCATACACACAGAAGAAGACCAAATAGAGAGAGACGGACACCCAAAGGAAACTGAGGGAGAGACAGAGAGAGACACAGAGACACAGTAAAGACATGGAGAGAGAGGGGGACAGGGAGAGGCAGAGAAACACAGAGGTAGACCACATCCAGCAACTGAGAGAATAAAGGAAAAAGACAAGGGGGATACAGAAAGAAAGATCGAAAGAGGAAAAAAGAAAGAAAAAGAGACAGATAAAGACAGACAGAAATATAGAGACAGAGATAGGGAGACTCAGCCATTCAGAAACGCACAGTGGGAGAGGCTTCCTTACAGTCTGGCCGACAGAGTTTGGCCTCTCAAGCTCCCTCCCACTGTCTCCCCTTCCCAGGTCTCTAGCAAAATTCTTATAAAGATACTGTGTCCTGGGTCAGGAATCTTAGCAAGTGATCGGCTGCTGCCCCACGTCCTAGGCACCGGGCAGTGGGCAGTTGCTTCTTAAAGTCCCAAAGAAAGGCTCTTTCCGTGCTTAGCGCAGCCATGGCCCACGGTCCCAAGAAGCATCTGAAGCGTGTAGCAGCTCCAAAGCATTGGATGCTGGATAAGCTGACTGGTGTGTTTGCTCCTCGTCCATCCACCGGTCCCCACAAGCTGAGAGAGTGTCTCCCACTCATCATTTTCCTAAGAAACAGGCTTAAGTATGCCCTGACAGGAGATGAGGTGAAGAAGATCTGCATGCAGCGCTTCATTAAAATCGATGGCAAGGTCCGAACTGATATAACCTACTCTGCTGGATTTATGGATGTCATCAGCATTGACAAGACTGGAGAGAATTTCCATCTGATTTATGACACCAAGGGTCGCTTTGCTGTTCATCGTATCACACCTGAAGAGGCCAAGTACAAGTTGTGCAAAGTGAGAAAAATCTTTGTGGGCACAAAAGGAATCCCTCATCTGGTGACTCATGATGCTCGTACTATCCGCTATCCTGATCCACTCATTAAAGTGAATGACACCACTCCGATTGATTTGGAGACTGGCAAAATTACTGATTTCATCAAGTTTGACACTGGTTGTGTCAAACTTGGTTTGTGTATGGTGACTGGAGGCGCTAACTTGGGAAGAATTGGTGTGATCACCAACAGAGAAAGACATCCCGGGTCTTTTGATGTGGTTCACGTGAAAGATGCCAACGGCAACAGCTTTGCCACTCGCCTCTCCAACATTTTCGTTACTGGCAAAGGCAACAAACCATGGATTTCTCTTCCTCGAGGAAAAGGTATCCGCCTCACCATCGCTGAAGAGAGGGATAAGAGACTGGCAGCCAAACAGAGCAGTGGGTGAAATGGTCTCCATGTAACATAATAACATGTTAAAAAGTTATTTGTACTTAATTAAAGATATTACAGTGTGAAAAAAAAAAAAAGTCCCAAAGAAAGGGAGTCATTGGCTAGCATCTTAGGCTCCCCCTA